GTAAGCCCCAGGGAGGAGGGTCAAGCTGAGGGGAAAAAAATACTATGGAGATTGGGAGGAAGCTGGCCAGTGCTTCACATTTTTAGGAGTGCTTTAAAAATAACACAGGAGCTGTAGCCATTCTCTTCCCCTCCCCCAACTTTCATTTTTCTGGCCCCACCCACTCATCCTGGCAGGCAGCTGAAACCCCACCCCCCACCCCCGCCATCTGGCTTCCTCGTCTTAATGACACATGTTCCAATTTACATTAAGCCATTAGAGCTGTCCTTTTCAGTAGGAAAGCCTCTGGCCTGGGTTAGGCGCTGGGCTCCAAGTCAGAAAACAGGCAGAGGGAGCCCTCTGTGGGGGAGAAGAGGGCATAGCTCTCCTCAATCACCCAATACCTCAAGGCCTTCGCTTCAGGCTCCGACAGGTCAGAAGCTTCTCCTCTTCCTTTGCTATACTTCACAGGGCTACCTAGGCGGCATGCAGGCAACTCTGGACATAACCCAACAACCCCTCCGTTAATGCAAGGCAAGTATGTGCCTTCCAAGGCAAGAGTACACAATGAATGTAATCAATATGCACTACAAACATATTCTGGTAAAATTTTTAAAAATAAAACGGCAAGAATAACCAAAACACATGGTTTCATAGTAAAAGCTACTACTCAGAATAACATAAAGTCTGATCCTGGGAAAGTGAAAATAATTTTACTACCTTACGTCCCAATTCAGTCAATTATACTAATGAAAATTCCATCTATTTAACTCACACCAACAAAGTTTGCTAGTTAAAAGGTAGCACATAGGAACTTTTTTCTGCAGAGGGTTCACTTTTAAAATTAGGAACAGAGGCATGGTGGTGCACACACCTGTAATCCCTGCACTTGGAAGCCTGAGGCAGGAGGACTGCCACGAGTTTGTGGCCAGCCTGGGCACACAGTGAATTCAAGGCCAGCCTATACAGTGAGAACCTGCCTCAGGGGGAAAAAAAAAATTAGGAACAGGGAATGGAAATAAAGGAAAAACAGCAGCAGCTGAGATAAAGACAGGGTGAGAGGAGAGGAACACAGGGCAGTTTTCATTAATTAATCTTGTGTAAACTTAAGATATTACCAGTAAAGATCGAAAATTACACAATATTTTACACAAGTATGACTGGGACTAGAATGTCCTGGTAGTCTTCTTGTAAGTCAGGTTTTTATGTTTTTGTTGTTTTTTCTTTTGGGCACTGGAAGTTGAACCCAGGACCTCACACATGATAGGCAAGCACTATAGTGGTGAGCTACATCCCCAGCCCCCCAACCCTTTTCTGATATGTTCTTGTTAAATTGACAAGATGGGCCTTGAACTTGCAATTTTCCTACCTCAGCCTCCCACGTAACTGGGATTACAGGTATATGCTACCAGGCTCAGAGGAAGCAATGTTTACAATAAACATGACAATTCCGTAATTAACCGTAGGATTTACTCATCCCAGAAGTTAAGGGAATATTAAAGAAATCCCTAATTTCTTCTAAACTCTTGGTTTGAAAATTTATAAAGGTCACTGTCAGGAATCAGTGTAGCCAGATCTTTAGCTAATTTCAAGTGTGTTGAGAAGGAAGGAGAGGTCCTCCAAGTGTCTATAAATTAACTTAGTCTAAAGGTTCAAGGAAGGCCTCTCAGAGGAAATGCCTTTGAAATGTGACCCTAGGACTAATGAAAAGGCAGGTGAGTGGCGGGTAAGGAGGTACCAGAAAGTGCTTAAGGTGAACGAGCACAGGTCTTCACTGAGCAGGAGGCTACTGTTAAGAGGGGGCACCTGGTGAGGGAAGCTTGGAGAACCAGTTCCTCAGGAGCCAAATCAGGGGCTGTGTGGCCTTAGAGCCACATTATGAAGTTTGGGCAGAGGAAGCCATAGTGCAATGATGAAATTATTCTAATTTCAGAAGTCTGGTTTTGCTGTACATACTTTCTATTCCTAGGCATCTGAATGCTAGGCTCAGTTAAACTCCTTATTTTAGTCCTGAGCAAACCTCTCAGTTCCCTGCCATATTTAATACTCCAAGCCCTGACTTACTAAGTACTAACTACATATCATAATCATTGCTAAGTGTTTTATTTTCATCTTCATTTAATCTTCATATCCACAAGTACATGAGAAAACTGGTTAAGCACCTGTCCAAGGTCACACAACTAGAACACACAACAGGATGCAAATTCAAGGTGTTTGACCACGCTCTAGCGAAGAGGTTTCAGGTATGACACTAAACTGTCATACAGTGTGATGTACAGAGCCACAGAAACACATGAGATCTAACTGAAGTTCTCCATGAAAATAGTGTTTAAGAGGAGGTGAGGTGAGAGGGGGAGGGGCTGGGAGTTTCAAAGAGTGCTGGAACTTGCACAAATTACAAATATTTATAAGCCAGCCATACAAAAGTGAAGTTTGCAAGTTTGCCAGTATTGTGAATATGACATTCACTTATATTCATAAGGACCCTAAACACAAACCAAACCTAAATTTTCAAGATTATTCTTAATAAAAAACACACAGAGGGCTGGGGACTTAACTCAGTGGTTCCACCTGCTGCCTCAAAAGCGCAAGGTCCTGAGTTCGATTCCCGGTACCAAAAAAGAAAACCACACAGAAATTTTCCATTCCAAAGGAGAACAGTAACATTCTGTGAAATCAAAATAACTAAAAATAGGCAACACAGTCAATATGTACCTACTGGCAAAGGTCAGAGCTATGTCTAGATAAATGCAAACAGCCGTACCCTACCTGCTCCCCATGAAGCTTTGCCTTTATTACAACTTTGTTTTAGTCCCTGGGACCAGGGAAAATGTTTTCTCTGTGTACCTTCCCAAGTCTACACAACATCTAACACTTAGATGTTGCTTGATAAATCTTTGATAAGTATATTAATTCCCACTGTTGCCCTGACTGGATTGGATTCCCACCTCTTTCTGAAAACTTTAATATAATGCCAAGAAAAAGCACCCATACAATAATAGATATAGCCCCCTTTCCTTCTACTCCTTCCCTTGCTCCAAGGTGGAAAAAACCACTCTCCTTTAAATACTTTTCTGTCTAGTTGAAATAAGAGAAACACACAATCAACTTTTGCTATTCTGAGAATTTTGCTTAAAATGAGTATTCTCCTAAATGTCTGTTTAATTTACTCCATGTAAACCTGCCAATGACTCTAACAATGTTTTCATATGTTTATGTCATTAGGGTACCATCCTACCTCTAGTGGCGTTGTTGTTAAGGGACACAGTGCACCATGGTTACTTTGCTTTTATATTCTGTATGTAAACATGTTGACTAGTCATAAAGCTACACTGAAAAATAAAACACATACCACAGAAAAGTCCAGAGGGTTAAAATGGAAAACTGATAGATAAAAAGTTTTATCTAATAGAAAACAATGCTCTGCTTCCACTGCTATTCTTTCAATGACCTGCTCTGAAAATCTCTCTAGTCTACTCCTCTATTTCAATTGCCTTATTGTGACATCTCTGTTACAATTTCATTTCCAAGTTCAAATGCCGCCCAAAGCTGCTCTCTCCGTGCTTCTGACTGCCCATAATGGCGCCTGGGAAGCCATCTTTCTGACATGGTTCAAGGTATACTCACTCTGGGTTCTCCTTGTAGAGTCACATTTTTAGTTTATAATGCTTTATTATGTAGTTAACAAAACCACAGAACTCAAAACTTGACTAGTACAGAAAAAAAGGTTAAGAGACTGCTTTCCTATGTAATGGCTCTAGTTCTCCCATAGACCATTTGAAAGAGAAGAGTTAGACTGTCACATATGGAAAGGCCCAACCTCAATATATTCAGATCTTTCAACTATGTTATGCAAATAGTACTATGACCACTACTCTCACGAAGCTGATCTTTGAACACAGAATAGTCTATGGAATCCATGGACAGCAGGTCCTGTTTCAGGGCAAACAGGCAGAAAGTTGTCCAAGTTCTCTCCCAGCCTCTATGTGGCCCAAAGCTCTCATCTGTGGATAAGGGAAGACGTAGTTACTCTGAGAGGAAAACCAAAATTCCTGACCTTATTACTAACAGACTCTGCTGACTTAGACTACTCCACATGCACCTCTCTAAAAACACCACTCAGCATACTCCTTCTCTCCGGTATCTCCCAAGGAGAGCAGAACTAATCACTGGCTTCATATTAACATGTCTACCTTAATTTGTATTATAAAAATGGTATGGGAATTTTCACGAGAAATAAAATATCGAAAAATTTAGAATGAAGACCAACGCACAGCTAGATCTCCAAAATATGGATAGTCATCATCTCCTGAATCAGTGAAAGTATCATCTACTGGGTGGCTGAGTGAATTGAGGCTTGCACCTGGCTGAGTTTATTAGGCCAGACAAGGCTTTGATGGTCACCATTTTGCAGTTTTCCTGAAGAAATCCAACTCTGAAGGCACAGTACAAACCACAAGTCACAGTGAGTGCGAAGAACATGCCAAAGGCCACCAAATGCTGGTTTCTTTGGGATCAGTGAGAAAGCAAATGAATGAAACCCATGCGCTTCTGGCTGTGCCTCTGTAAGGGTGCCCAGAACAAAGGCTCTGTGTCTAGTGACCACCACAGTGACTGGCACAAAATAGGACATCATTTGTGGAACCCGTGAACAGCAGTTCCTCTCACGTGTACCACCCCAAAGCTTCCTCACATAACTCTGTGCATTTCATACTGATGTAGGCACTATCGACCCACTATATTGATGGGGAAAGCGTAGCGCAGAAGAACTGATCAAGTCAAGTTCGTATCAGGGGACCGCTCACCTAAACACCAAAGGACTTTTACTCCCTGGTCACGCCCACTCTACTCGCAACCCTCCCCCCCCCCCACCGCGCGCCTCAGTCAAGCCAGGTAGGGGACAGGGCACAGCATCGGCTTCCCGCCCCTTCCAGGGCCCAACTCCACAACACCTACTTCCCTGGGCGAGAAGGGGGCGCAGACTCTGGACGCCGCCCCGCCCGCTGCCCCCAGCCCCTGACCTTTTTGTCCCAGATCTGCAGGGGCTTGCTGCCGATGCTGTAGAGGATGGAGAGGAAGCCACTCTGGAACGTGTTTTTGAACATCTCGCCTGCCGGCGGCCTTCGACACAGTCGCCCCGGAGCGACCGGCTCTGGAGTAGATACAAGCAGAGAGTAGCGAAGGAAAAGCAGAGGATGGCTAACTCTCGACCTGTAGCCACTGGCGGCTGGACTTGGACACGGGACGCTAGGTCCCTAGCTTCAGCTCCCACAGAGCCACCTCAGAACCAAAACCACAGCAACCGTCCCCCCCAACACTCCTATCCTTAAATGGAGGCGAAGGGACGCCCGCTGCTTAAAATGGATCCCTCCACTCGCTTGAGCCCGCCCCCTGGGAGCGCTGGGCCCAGTCCCGGCGCAAGGAACGCGATTTCCTGTTCCTTCCTCCTATAATCCCCGCCCCAGTCCCGCCCCTTCAGGAAAAAGAACTCTGTTGCCGAGGGACTATTTTCCCATCTGTGGTCCAGATTTGCTTCAAAATAGCGGAGGAAGACAAAGGATTGTCTTAGTATTGTTAGTCTACGTAGAGTCATGGAAACAAGGCTAAGTGAAGCGTCGGGATGGGGGGAAGGTGACTGCCAGGCCCCACCTCCTGCAGGGCGAGGCGGAGTTATACAGGAAAAAGTAAAAGAAGGCTGAGGGCAAATGATCGTAAGTTCGAGCCCAATCTGGGCAGTTTAGCGAGACCTTGTCACAGAATAGAATTTTTTTTGAAAAACTTGAGGATGTAACTCAGTACAAAGGCCCTGGGTGAAATCCCTTGAAACAAGCAAAAAACAAAACAAAACAAAAACGATACTCTGAAGAAACTATGTCGCCTTGATTGTACAGATTAGAATACAAGAAAGCATGAAGATTAAGATAAAATCTGGAAATAAAATTTTAAAAAAGCTGAATTGCTTGAGTTGAACCAATAGCTGACTTTAAAAGAAAATCAATACCTACAACATTTTAGGAAGGATAAGCTATGATATTTCAAGTGTGGAAGGAAATCCCAAATGTTGGAGACTCCCATGAGTCACTGACCACCATCTACCTAAATTCTATATTGTGTCCCCAGGCCTGTGCTGGTATTATGGTTGGCAGAAAGAGTTTGCAGCTAATGTAATCATTTTAGCAGTTTCTATCATTATAGTAGTAAATTCAGCATTTACTGCGTGTCAGCCACCTATATAAATGCCCTATCCTGTATTCATTCAGTTTTCATATCAACCACTTGAATAACCCAGACAGAGTTTCTAGACACATGAATCTTATACAGTGTCTAGAAAAATATTTGAATCTTATACAGTATACAAATAAAACTTTTAATATAAAACTGCTATTTTGGGTGATTTCTGGAGACTTTTTTTTTTTACAGTTTCAAATATTTATCGTTGATACACTAGCGCTGATCACAGAAAAAGAGTAAGGGTTCTGATTAAACACATCCAACTGTCCAGCCAGTGGTATTTTTAAAGCTTGATGTAGTGATGTAATCTTGACCATGATAAAGAAGGCATCATCTGTGTCCTCTGAGAGAGTAAATATACTACAGCTCATGTGCAATTCCTTACAGTCCCAGCTTGGCCCTCCTCCAGTGTCTCCTCTTGGAGTTGTACCTGATTTTATTACTAGTCTTCATCCAAATCCATTGAGGAACGGGAGGATTCTGCTTTTGCTTCTTGGCCAAATCACTTGATTCTGAAAGTCTTTCGAGAAGATATGGCTAGGCTCAGAGGTAAGCACACACACGATGGCGGACAGACGCTAAACAGCTGGAGATTTTATATGTGAGGCCAGTGAACACTATACTTAGCTTGTTAAGTGTTTCAAAATATCCTTAGGAAAAAAAATGGGTTAAGAAGAGAGAAGGCTTAATATTAAGAAAGAGAAATCAACTGGGTGTGGTGGCACATGACTGTGATCCCAGCACTTGGGAGGCTGAGTAGGAGGATTGTGGTGAGTTTGAGGCCAGCCTGGGCTACATAGCAAGTTCAAGGCCCGCGTGAACTACATAGCGAAACCTTGTCTCAAACAAACACAAACAGAAAGAGTCGTTAAAATACAAAAAATGCTGAGAATGTTGCTCAGTTTGAAGGCCCTGGGTTCAATTGTTCAAACTCCAATAGAGCGAGAGAGAGGGTGAGAGAAGAGAGAGAGAGCTAGAGCTATAGATGAATTATGATTATGATGATTATCAAAATAATGCATACAACTTTCACCATTTAAAAGTTTTTCTGAAATAAAGTATTTTCTAGGAAAACAATTACCAATACTAGATCTATAAGTAGAAAATCAAATAGCTAATAATCATAGAAGAAAAGTAAGGTAGAACTTTCAGAACGTTCTAATTATTTTATGAGTTTTAATATTTTTCTGGTTACAGTAATATAGGTCTCTTGAGGACCTATGAAAAATACCATTACAATCACTGATAACCCCACCATCCAGAAATAACTGTATATTTTTTCATGTCTTCCTGTCTTGCTCCCCCTACATGTCTCTTTGAATTAATCCATTCTCCTCCCTCATCCAATCATGTATAATTGTAAACAGACAGCCACAAGAGTTTTGTTTGTTTTAAAATAGACACATATTACACACACTGTTCAGAACTATGGTTTTTTAAACCCTTCCACTGGGCCAATGTACACCTAATCCCTTGCCTGTAACTGCACAGTCCTACCAGGCATGCTTCCCTCTGTTTCCTCTGTCTACTCCACTAATGAACATCCTTGTTCATGTCCTCTGAAGGATCTGTGTGAGAATTTCTTTTGTACACATATTCAATGCCAGAATTGCTAGGTCCTAACATCTGCATGTATTTCATTTGACTTAAATGGCCATTTGTACTCCCATCCACAATGCATGAGGGTCTCTGCAGTCACAGTCACCTTCTGACACTCAGCATTATTCTACTTTCTAAATTTTGCCAGTCTAATACATATAACATGATGGTTTGTCTTATCATATTTCTGACTACTAATACACTGACTCAGCTCTTCATAGGCATTTCAGTTTCTTTATTTTTAAGTTGGCTGCTTATGTCCTTTCCCCAAGTCTCTATTGAGGTTCCTTTTTTCCTTATTGATTTCCAAGATTAAATAGTATCTCTAGGTATTAATCCTCTGTTGGTTTTAGATAATGCAAGTATCTTTTCCCAATCTGTCATTTGCCCATTTTACCCATGATGTCTTTCTTTGAATAGAATTCTTATATTTATTTATGATTTGTGCTTAGAAGTTTACAGATGTAACCCATCTCTAGGTCACCCCTATACTTTTATTAACTATGTGGATTTATCATATATATATCATGTTATATATATTATATATTATATGAGATATGATATACATATGATAAATCCCATAGTGGATATTATGTGTGGTACTTGGATTGAATCCAGGGGCTTGCACATGCTACATAAGTGCACTACCACTAAGCTACCTTCCCAGGGCTTTGGGAAGATAGGGTCTTGCTTAGTTTCCCAGATTGGACTCGAACTTGCAATGTTCCTGCCTCAGCCTCCTGAATATCTAGAATTACAGGCATGTACCACCATGGCTGGCTCATAGTTATGATTTAATCCTTCTGGAAAATGCCACTCTTTTCTAGACCACTGGTCTGCTTAAAAGCTCTTATGCCACTACAACCCAGATTTTCATTAATAAGGCTTTTTGGTGTATTTTAATATCTGACAGGGCAATCCCATCCTTTTCTCCAAAGGCTAATTTGGCTAATGTTCATGGACCACTATTCTTTCTTTTCCTTTTTTTGGTACTGGGGATTGAACTCAGGTCCTTGCACTTGCAAGGCAGGCGGTGGAACCACTGAGCTAAATGCCTGGCTCTATCTTTCTTTTTGAGCTTGTGACCCTCTTGCTTCAGCCTCCCAAATGGGCATTTTGATCTCAACATGTCCAAAACAGATCTTTCCATTTCACTGTCTCCCACACCCTTTGCCCAGACCTTCTTCCCAAGTCCTGAGGAGTCAGTCTGAGCTGCTCTTTTTCTTACAGCCCATGTCAGTGAATCCTATAGCTCTGCCTTCCACCTACCAGGTTTGCTCCTGTGGCTTGAGTTTGGGGTGCTCCCTGCAGGTGCTGACTGTGCCTTCCTCTGTTCCAGAGTCCCAGGACTTAGCACAGCAGCCACCATCGTAGTGGGCAATGAATAAATGAACAAATGAATGTGTGGAGAGCCAAATGGTCACCACAGACATTTCCCTTCCTTTCAAAGGTAATGGTGGTCCAAATTAACCCAAAACCACGTCTCTCATAGACTTATGCATTAAACACTATCATTCCTGTATATTGCATTCCCTTCAACACAAATGTATGTAGGAAAAAACTCCATAAGAAACTTTGTTAATAAGTTTGCTAATAAGTGGCTGCCATCAGTGATTTACACAATTAGTATGTAGTCACACTGAAAAGGATACAAAAAGGAAGCAGATTCCAAGTAGGCAGTAGAGAGACTGCAGTGCAGGCAGTAAGTGCAGAAGATCAGTTGATGCAAATCTGGCAAGTAAAGCTACCCAAGAGGTAAAGTATCATGGGAATATGCAGATATGGGTAGTCCCGGAAATCTCATTCCCGGAAGGAGGGGCTTAGTTTGGGGTAGAATATCATGGAAGTGGTACCCAGTTTATATCTAGTCTTGAATCTGATCAGCAACATAGCACAGTCTGGAGCTGAGGGAGAGCATTGTGGCCTTGGTGGGATGTCAAAACACACAGATTGTGGCAAGTAAACCAAACTCAGGATGGCAGTCACCTGTGTCAATTTGAGAAATTTTTCTTTCTTTCTTTTTTTTTTGGCCTTGAACTATGCAGTCCAGGCTGGCCTCAAACTCGAAGTGATCCTCCTGCCTCGGACTCATGAGTGCTAGGAGTAAAGGTGTGCACCACCACACTCAGTGAGAAATAAGTTTCTGAATATATTGTTGGGATATTTCAAATATTTAAGATGACCTAGTGAATTATAGGATGTGATGCTTTAAGTTAATTTGAAATGCTTAAAGGAACTTGAAATTAGATATGATTTTAATTTTACAATGTAAAGAAAATTCATAAACAATGTTTAAAATATTTTATTAAATTTATGAGCTTAGTTTTTTTCTTAGTATTTGAATGCTTAGGGAGATTCTGTTAGATTTTAAATTTTTCATATTAACTACTGGAAGTGTTTGTGGGAATCAAACATTGAGTATGTGATTGAGTTTGATGCAAATCAGGCAACTAAAGCTATACAAGAGGTAAAGTATCATGGGAATGTGCAGATATGGGTAGCCCCGGAAATCTCATTCCTGCAAGGAGGGGCTTAGTTTGGGG